CAACATTCTTCAAATTAAAAGAACACGCATACTCCCCCCCCCCCTTGGCACACATACACAAACACACCGACACACACACACACATACACACACCTTCACTTACTAAAATAAATGAACATTTTTTTACAGGTATTCCCCCAGCATACCGATTTTGTGTAGTCGGTTTTATTTATGGCCTACAACGTAAGCCTCAAATATGCGGGGAGGGATGGTTGGTGGTTGATGGAGAGGTGGGGTGGGGTGGGGGGGGGAGGGCACCTCAAGCACATCTGACAGTTTATCAGTGAAAAAGAGTTCTCTATCGCTGTGCAGTCAAGCACGGTAACATTTTTTTAAAGTTCGGTGTTTCTCAAACTGCACTGGGATGTACACTCTTCATCCTATGAAGTTTAAAAAAATGTTTTTTTTTCAATGGCGTATAGAAGATTGGACCCGGTCTTGGCGCAACGATTCAATTGAAAAAAAAATTAAATAAATAACTTTAGTGAAGCAACTGAAGTTCTAAAATGTAAACAATTTTTTATTAAGGGTCGTCAAATGACGTTACTCACCGGTGACTTTTGTAACATGTGCTACGAGATGGGGGGGGGGGGGGGAGGTTAGGAGAGGGTGGGGGTCAAGAAATGTATCATGGCTTATATTTGTGTATTTCATAAGGAAAACAAATGATCAAAGACAAATTTAATTTGTTGTAATTAAAGGGATTTGATGGATATTTTAAGTGCATATTAATTATAGGTGTCAAAATGGAAACGTGTGATGTCATTATTGGGGAGGAGGGGGGGTGGCTACAGTGTTTCTTCCAGACTTATTTTCCGGGGGGGGGGTACTCGATATTTTCGGGGGGGGGGGGGGGAGCGGTTAACACTTTCCGAGGGGGGGTGGTGGACACTGGTAAATGTATATAATGTGTCTATATAAATTCCATTTCGTTCGGGGGGGGGGGGGCGTGTAGTCATTCAGGGATAAGCCCCTTTATTAAAAAACAGGTGTATGTTTATGTTAAAACAGTACAATAGCTGTGCTTATAGCTATCAAACAGAACTAAATTTGGTTCTCTCATTCAGTGTACACTAATTTACATTCGTTGGTTTTGATTTCATTTTTTTTCCTGGAACCTTTGATGACGGGTTTATAAATAGAAATGTATAGCTGGGCTGTTGAGTTTAAAGTGTGTCAAGTCTTTAGGGGGAGGGGGGGGGTGTTAAGAGACCCTTCTCTCTTTTCTTGCCAGGCTCCAGTGGGGGTAGTTAGTGCTAGGTAATTGGCACAACGTGTCAGTGTGACAGGCTGTTGGCACAGCGTGTCAGTGTCACATGCTGTTGGCACAACGTGTCAGTGTCACATGCTGTTGGCACAACGTGTCAGTGTCACAGTCTGTTGGCACAGCGTGTCAGTGTCACAGTCTGTTGGCACAACGTGTCAGTGTCACAGTCTGTTGGCACAGCGTGTTATAGATATCTTACACAACGTGTCAGTGTGTCAGGCTATTGGCAGAACGTGTCACAGGTAATTGACACAATGTATCAGTATATCAACAAGTGGCACAACGTGTCACAGGTAACTTACACAACGTGTCAGTGTGTCTGACAAATGGCACATATTGTCACTGGCACAGCGTGCCAACCAAATATCGGGATTCCCCTGAACTTAGCAGAAAATTATCGATCCCTGTCGTGTAAGAAAAAACCAATACACCCTGTATTAACAGCACTGATATTGTCGTCAGGCCTGAGAAATTCTTAATCCGTGTGGTCCCAGAGCTACAAGCATTAATTAATACCGGGCACATAGCAATACAAACTCAATTAATTAATACCAGACACATAGCAATACAAACTCAATTAATTAATACCAGACACATAGCAATACAAACTCAATTAATTAATACCAGACACATAGCAATACAAACTCAATTAATTAATACCAGACACATAGCAATACAAACTCAAGCAAAAATAACTCAATTTGCTTTCAACATACAAGGCAACATAATTCTGGTCTTAAAAATTATTTTAATTAATATCTTAATTAACGGTCAAAATCGAGTAAAATTAATTTCGATACAAGAAACATTGTCTTTCTATTAACAATAGCCGTTAAAGTTACATTTAAATAAAACAACTAAGAAGAACACGTTACGTATAATGAAGTTTGTTTTTAAACACAAGTTAGAATAGAAATGTTTAATTTAGAGAGTGATAAATGTTCAGTAATCACACTTCATGTCTGACAACTCTGTCTGACACACTTCAGTTCAGGTCTGACAATTCAATCTGAAAAATTTCAGGTCTGATAACTCTGGATGTCTGATCCAATCGATAGATGGCGTTCACATTCTAATAACTATCCCAGGATTAATCCTACTTCCGCTTGGTCAAGTGCTGTCTGTCTAATCAATACATCGCTAGCTTTAATATGAGAGTTGCTCACCTCTATCAATGGAAACAACAAAAAAAATTCTTTGGTGTCGTCTAATTAAACTTATTTGAATGTTTTTTCAATGTTGAAAATTTCGAACATAATAAAAATAAGGAAGTGGCCACGGTTATCATTTAAATCAGAAATTTTTTAAATGTGTAAAAATAAGTTGACCGTTGTAAGCTTTACTATTTCAGTTAAGTGGTTTAAAAAATCAATAGCTCTGTAAGAAACAAATCGACGGTGCACTGTGGTATACACCGGCTTTGTGTTAACATTTAGATTTATTTGATTGTTGAATGTTCGTGGATTTAACATGTATATGTGTCGGCACGAAATACGTAGCCCTCATCCTGGGATAGCTGGTCGTGGTCTCACAATGTCTCACTAGCTGGTCACTTAAGAGCTCACGAAATTGATCATGGAGAGCCAGAGGCGTAGCGACCCCTCCCGGCGGATAAATGTTCAATTTGTCGCCCCCCCCCCCCATATATTTTTTATGTTTATAATTCAAAACTGCAGCTGAAATGAGCTTTTAATTTTTTTCCAACCCATTTTGGCGCCCAGGGACATATGACCCCCCCCCCCCCTTCGCTACGTCTCTGCTGAAAGCTGGTGGACTCAAGCTGGTGTTGATCCAGGTCAAGAAGTATCTAACTATGTAGATACCAGGGTAGTGATGGTTGTGTGGATAGCCTATTTCGGGAGGGGGGTTGTAACTGCTCTCCATGTACACGTCCAACTTATGACGACAAAATCCTCTCCACTCAGACATTTTTTTAAAACTAAATCTTAATTACCCTACGGCTCTTTAATAACCTAATGGAACTCTTCATCTTTGGAATAAATCAATAAATGTATCAATGCAATACATCGGTTCTTTAAGCTCAACGCAGCATTTGACCTCTGTAGAAGTGTAAACAAGCTATGCAAGCAAACGTAACGCGACTAAATACTAGCAACAGGCCCGTCCTTGATGCATCTGTCTTATGAATAAATATAGCAACTAAAATGGGATCGTCTTACAAAAGCTGCAAGCATTAATAACACACCACATAGCCAGGCATTCTTTAGGTGTTGTATTTTGTGAGGGAGTATCTTTAATGTCGTCTCAAAAATTTAAAAATCTATTCTGTTGTCGGTTTTTTTTATGCGAAGCAGGTCAACCGTTACATGCAACTATAAATATTTTTTAAGTTAAAAAAAATCCAATTCATGTGGGGTCAGTTTAATTAAAACGAAAATAACGTTAATTTTGTACAACCAAAATTTCTTTTAACAAATTAACACGCTCGGATAAGCGCATAGTTTATTGTTCACTTTCTCCTCTTTGGTTTTCATCTTTAAAATTAGAACTTTCATTTTTTTTTGTTGTTGGCTAAGTGTACAAAAAAGCATCAAAGAAGCGAATGTTGTGTTGGAAGAATCAAAGAAGCGAATGTTGTGTTGGAAGAATCAAAGAAGCGAATGTTGTGTTGGAAGAATCAAAGAAGCGAATGTTTTGTTGGAAGAATCAAAGAAGCGAATGTTGTGCTGAAAGATTCAAAGAAGCGAATGTTTTGTTGGAAGAATCAAAGAAGCGAATGTTTTGTTGTGAAGTAGCAGCCGTGATTGTTGTATGCCTTTAAAATATTTATTCAATGAGTCAAGGCTCCGTGTTTGCTCCAGGCGATGGCCACTGGTTTAAATTATAAATGTAAAGAACAAAACAGAAATGGCCATATTCCCATCCTTGAAGAGATTCGTTATGAAGATTTTTAAAAACACTGTTGCATAATGCGACTCGCACGAATAAACATAACACGTTTAACTAATTTACATATCTATCGGGTGTAATATCCGTGTTTTTTTTTGTCTGCAAAGTATAATTTTGCATGCATAAGTAGGAGAAATAGGGGAGAAACTCACTAAGGGTCTAGTGGATCGATTCTGGTTAAAAATATAGGGGGGGGAGGGGAATCGATATTTTCGGGGGGGGGGGGGGGAGGCTGACTAATTTTTCCTCTTGAGCGAGAGGGGCGGACACTGGTAAAATTATGTTTTCTGTATAAATTCGATTTCGTTCGGGGGGGGGGGGGAACGGTAGCCTTTCTCCTGGCGGGGGGGGGGGGGGGGCGACGACGACAACGACGACGCAGCCTCCCCCCACCCCCACCCCGAAGAGATTCCTGGAAGAAACTCCTGAAAATAACGTTTAAGTTCAAAGTGTCTTAAGGAAGAAATCGGTGAAAGGATGGTGATCCTGACTAGTCATGAGATCAAATTTTTAAAATTACATCATAACTTTATCCAATATCCAATTTACGGGTTTCATGTGTATTAATTCCTGATTAATCGTATCTAAATGACCATCCTGTGTGAGAAAGTTATAGCTGAATCATCCTTTAGTTAGCTAGAGCTGAATGAAAGTTTAGCCAGCGATAGTTGAATGTTCATTTATCAAACTACATTTGAAAGAATATCCTCTAATTTCATCCTAATGACGACAACAAGAGTTAAGGAGAATCGTTTTTTAAACTTATTAAAATTCTATGTATTACATTTTTATTCAATGAATTTTTTTGTATTTATTTTCACAGCGATTTGAACGAACATTCCATTTTGACCAACTTAAAACTCCGCTACAGAAAAGAGCTAATTTATGTAAGTAGTTTTATAAAATAAAAATAGCTTAGCCACTTGTGTATATTTTTTTAGCAATTCATTTAATTTTCGAGTGGTTTAACAACTCTATATCACGGCATCTTCATCAAATCTCCACCAACACGTAGCGTAGCGTACTTGAGTTCATTTATGTAAAGAAACAGCTGTCACCCAATGAGAAAAAAAAGCCATAGTTGATATTAAATCTTACACCTGAATACCCCCTCACTACCCCCTCACTACCCCCTCCGACTCGCGACCCAACGAGGATAAAAATTGATTTTTTCTTCTAAATTCTAGGTTAATTATAAGATTGTATTAGTAGATGATAAATATGATGTAGTAATACATGCTAAACAAGTGAGACATGCAACACAATCATTGTTAAATTATATATATATATATATATATATATATATATATATATATATATATATATATATATATATATATATATATATATATATATATATATATATATATATATATATCTTTTCAAACGTAAACTACAAAACTGCCCAATTGGTTTGAATCAGTCAGCCAGATTTAAAGGAGATCCTTCGTAGTATTTATTGTTGTTTACTTGAATGATAGGAGTAACCCGAGTTTTGATTGGCTGGCACAACATAACAACAGCCAGGCTGCAATCGGTCACTGATAGGGCTAGTTTAGCGCAGCAGAGGGATCAATACTTGTCAGATAGATCGAAGAGCAATCAAACGGTTAAATAAATAATTGTTTATCTTGATGAGCGATGGTGGTACAGCTCGACTTATGGCGCGGGGTGTGGGATGGGTGCAGTGGGCGCGCCCGTACTGCGGTCTCCAACATTCGTGGTCGTTAATCGATATCGGAAACCAGTTGAACTGGCATCGATTTTCTGTGCCAATCAGGCAGGTTCAAGGTGCGTCTATTACGTGTTGCACGAAGTGTGTGTGTGTGTACGAGAGGGGGGGGGTGTCGCTAATTTTTGTCAAGACACAAGCCACGCCCACTTCCTTACATAAAGATCGAGTATCTCTTAGAAATGATTTCTTTAAATACACAATGGGGAATGGGTGTGAGGGTGTGGGACTATGGGTTTCTACTTGTCTTTTGACGCTGGGTCTTGGGCGAGGGCGGATACATGGTGGGGAAATATGGGCCCCCGTGGCATTGACGGTGTAGTTGTTGTGTATGGAGCACTGAAGGGAAAATGTCTGCTAATATAATTATAATCAGTTTTACCACATACAAGGGATGGTTATAGAAAAGGCCAATACTAGGTGCTGAGATGTGGCCAAATGCCTTCACTGAGGTGTGGGCCAGTCCCCTCACTGAGGTGTGGGCCAGTCCCCTCACTAAGGTGTGGGCCAGTCCCCTCACTGAGGTGTGGGCCAGTCCCCTCACTGAGGTGTGGGCCAGTCCCCTCACTGAGGTGTGGGCCAGTCCCGTCACTGAGGTGTGGGCCAGTCCCCTCACTGAGGTGTGGGCCAGTCCCCTCACTGAGGTGTGGGCCAGTCCCCTCACTGAGGTGTGGGCCAGCCCACGGGTCTATGATGTGGGCCAGCCCGCGGCTCTGAAATCCACGCCCATGAACCTCTCCTGATGTCCTGCCCCAGCAGTGTATCCGGCGATGTCAAGCAGCTGATGACGCACCGCCCTCGTGTGTATGACGACACGCATGACATGCGCCGTTCCACCCTCAGCCTCCCACCCCCCACAAGCTACACTGTAGACACGGTATCTCATCCTACCCCCCCCCCCCCTCCCCATCCGTGCGTGGCCATTATGTCAGGACTTATGTCATTGTAGAATAGAAAACGTTTTGTACGGTATGGAATAAGTTTTTTCCGACTGGTTGATTTCTTTAACAGCCCCCGGCTGCCCCCAGCGTGAAAACACAAAAGGGCCTCCGTTTAAAAGGTCCCTTTTAGCGATGCACTGATTTAACTCTTTCAGCTCCGTTCTGCGTGGTTTTTGTATAGATCATGTTTCATGGTTATGTAATCTCTGTCTAATTTTCGGCCGTGGCGAAACATATTTTTAGCTTTGATGTTAGTAACAGAATCTTCAGACGCGAAAAAAATTAACTTAAAAAATACTAGAGTGAACTGAACAGTCATTCCTGTACCCCGATAGCTGAGGTCAGGGTTGGATGGGGTGGTGTAATCCGTGCCTAAATTGTTGAAGGGATTGCGAAAAGCCTGACAAATACGTAACTTGCAAACTGACAAAGGGTTGGGCCAGCACACAATTAAATTGCTATTTTAGATGGACTAGTCTCGCACACGATTTCACCCTATTAGATTTCTCTATAAAATAAGACAACAAATCCTAACTATTATAGTTGTTTGAATGCGCTTAATTAAGTTTAACGGGGGGAATATTCAGAAAGAGATTAATAAACAAAGGCGCGCGCCTAATCTGTAAGATGGGATTAAAAAAAAAAAGATTATATCAGAGTAATTTATTTTTGTTGAATTTCTAATTAGATTACCCAGAGGGACAAGTTTTTGGGAGTAAAGAACGATTTGTTGAATGAATAATGGCTCGTTCGCTGGAGAATAATAGCTCGTCAGATGTGCACCTTAAGATGACTTGTTAGATGGAGAAAAACGCGATAGATTTGGGGGACCCGTTAGAAGGGCAGTGACTCGTTATATGGAGATAGGTTTTAGCTGGAGAAAGACCCGTTAGATGGCCAATGACACGTTGCATGAACAAGTTCTCGCCAAATTCTAGACACCCTTCACGTTTATTCGCCTGTTTTCGCTGCTGTTTCAACCAGAACATCTACATTCCTGCTTCTAGACCAAGGTGTGTGTTGGGGGGGGGGGAGGCTGTAAGAGGGAAGTAAAGATAGAAACAAACGACCTTCGCCTATTCTCTCGTCACGTACCCCGTGTTGACATTGGAGACATAGATCTACATCAAGCCGTCCGATTCATCAGACAATTTATCTAGCCCCCTCCCCTCACTCTACAAACTGTAACATTAAAATCTCCCCTACCCTCGTGTTCTCTCTCTCCCCCCCCCCCCCACACACACACGTAATATATAACTGTTTGATGTTGAATGTCATGTTTATATCTATTTTTTTTTAAAAAGTGCTGCATTAAATTATCGTTGATAATTTGGGTCATTTGCGAACTAGCTTGACAAGCGTTAAGACTTACCTTCCCTCCTGTTTATCTAGCTGCTTACTAAAAGCAAACATTACCTTTAATATGAGAAGGTGGGCATTATTCGCTCTATGAAACTTCACGTTAATATAAGAACGGTGTCCTAAAACTAGATAACTGATTTGTTTGTATTTAATGAAATGTGGGGGAAGGTATAGCCAACTGTTCCCAGGCGCCAGAGAACCTTGTTGCGCCACTTCATTTGATTGACTCATAATCACAAGACAGTATGTTAGAATGTCCTAGTTTATTGGGAAACGTTTAGGATAGGTTTTGTAAGCGTATGTGTATCTTCAGCACACCTGTCTGAATGTTTTGTAACTGATCACTTTAGCACATCTGTCTGGATATCTGTGTATCTTTAGCACACATGTCTAAGTGTCTGTTTCTTTAGCACTTTCGAACACCTGTCTAAATGTCTATCTAAATGTCATATCTGTGCATGTCTGTGTATCTTTGGCACTTTAGCACACCTGTCTGAATGTATCTTTAGCGTTTGAGCACACAGGGGCGGAACTACTATACCGCGGGGAGTGGGGTGTGAACAGGCCGTTTAAGGGGCCCAAAATCCGACCAAAAAAAAAAACAAAGTAATTTTTTTTTGCACCTTGACAGAGTAGTGTTTTTGTAAAAAGCAAACAGATCTACTACAGCAGTGAATATTCTACAGTAACTAACTCGCACTGTACCGTAGGGGGAAAACTACATGAGCTTTAGTGTAGTGCTTTTGTTTTCAGTATAGTTAAAAACATGTTTACGTTTGTTTTCTACCATGGAGCTTTCAATCATTAAACAAATAAATATATTTTATCGCCACATTTTATACCAGTTATTGTTGACACTTATGTGGGTAAAAAAATAATAATTGCACATCTACACAATAGTTTGGCGCCATTCTGACGCCCTTGATTGTGTTAGTTGGGGTAGGTCTGTATCAATGTTTTGATTTTCTTCATACTAATTTTTACTGCTGTTTACAATGGTTTGGTGAAATAATTAATTTGATTTTTAAGACTTTTATTACCCCTCTAAAACACAATACAAGACTTTACCTTTTTTTAAAACAAAATTAAAGATGCTAAATGCTATTTATCTCTAAGATGAAAAGAGTACCGTAGTTTATTTTAAAAACACGGTGTTTGTACTTCAAAATGTCTTTCAATTCACGGGGAAGGGGAGGTTACTAGAAATGTTCACATATTTGTGAGTGTTGGACGGTGACAATGTCATTTGACGGTGTATAACTAAGGGGATGGTTGTCCAATCTTCGTATATAAAAATAGGCAAAAAGGCGACATTTTATAGAAATAAACTGTTGAGACACACAGGAAAGACCATAGCACAGATACACGCGATCACCGACATTGTTCGGTTGTGTGGAGCAGAGTTTCTATAACGATGTGCAAGTAATGCCCAGAGGCATGTATATAAAGGGTAAAGAGCTTCAGCTGTAGTACGCTTAAATGAAAATAGAAACACTTGAAAAATATATTTGAACCATAACATACTTTGGAGTTAATTTGAAATAGGGGATTGAGGTTGTATATGTAAACGTGTTTTTTTGCACATCATTCAGTCACCGCCTAGGAATTTGTCTTCTAGGCCTACTCGTGGTAAAGATAGTTGGCTCGTTGTATTGATCAGAGTTTCTTTCAGGCATCTCTTTCCCTGAAATACGTCTACAAAAATATATGTATATACAAAATATACACTTCACCTAATGTCCACCTCCCCCCCCCCCCCCCGGAAATTCAAGTCCCCATCACCCCCCTCAATGCTTCAAGTGCCCCCACCCCACTCACCTTAGAAGAATGTCTGAAAGAAACATTGGCGTTGGTACATCATACCAGCCAGCGAACCCACTGGGCATGTTTGGCAACTGACTGGCAACTATCACGTGACCCAACATTGTTGTAGTTGCCAGACGTGAACCCGGAAGCACCACTCACCTGACCCGTTCTCTTGTTGGTGGCGCCACAACGCCCAAAAACATCGTCCCACTCTTTGAAATCCATCGAAGCGTTTTAAAATTCGTGATTTTAAACAATCAACTTTAAATCCGGATTTAATGACTGATTCATTCTAGCATTAATGAATAAAAATGTGTGTGTGGGGGGGGGAGAGAACTTTAAGCAAACATGTGAAACATTTCACCCAAGGCCTTAAAATTATCAGACGGGTTATCGGTAGTTTCTCTCCCTTATTTGATAATCAGAGATAAAAAAAATAGCAGTACAAAAACAAGACTACATTGTTTGCCTGCATGTTACAGCATGGATTTATGCTATCTGATAAACTCCTTTAGACAAACCTCGCATTGATCAACAGCAACATTAAAAAAATTCAACCTAAATTGTATAAACCTTAAGAGTTAAGAGATATTAAACATTGTGGGGTTTAGTTAATGTATGAAGTTATTATTAGAGAGATTTTAATACAAATAATAAAGTTTTTAAATAATGTGAATGTTAAGTCTTAATTGAATTAATAGGTCTAAAATAAGTATAACAACAAATCCAATTAATTTTACTTACTAGTATTACTTTTATAATTTATGTGAAGGCTAGTTTGTTTATTCTTGGTCTAAAATGTAACCTAATCAATGTTGTATTTGGTTTCTAGTTTTCATGTATGAAACTTTCCATACAATCACTGTCTGCAGTTGGTCGTAAAATCGATTCTAAAAAAAATTAATTACAAATTTACACCGGTATTAAAATATGGGAATCAATATTACACAGACACCGCCGACATCACATCAATAGGAAGATCACACGAAATCGACCACGGCAAGGTGGCAACAAGCGATGTTTATGTCTAATCTTTAAAAAAATCGATTTTTATAAATTAGGGCGTATTCGGATTTCCCCGGCTAATGTATCTGTTTTTTATAAAGATAAAAAGTTAAGGCTTCACTTGTTAAGACTACGCTAATAAAGACTGGAGGGTGTGTTAGGGAGAGGGAGGAGTCGAGAATCACGTTGGGGCTAGGTGACGAATTTTATCAGGTCATGTACCTTATGACCCGCCCAACTGATGACCACTCTTTTCAGACCGGATGTGTGTGTCCCCACCCCCCACCACTCACAGAGCTGACCTGTTTTAAACAAGACGGTTTGATTCACGTCATGCCACACCCAGCTGTCATGTTAACTATGTTTAGACCAGGAGCTTGCTAACAAGGTCCAAAACACTTTAGAGGTTCATTGATAGAATGATCAGATTACTTTCGTAAAATCTCAATTGGGCAATATAAGAAGAGCCTGCATTAAGCACATATGTATTCTACCATACGTCGTGTTCATATATGGTAGTCAGTGAACAGCAAACAGAACAGATTCAAATGAAAATAGACCAAACATAGTATTAAAACATTTTATATGTGCAAGATGGGGAGTCGGTGGGTTGGTAGACAACAACCAGAGGAAACTCACAGAGACATATCAAAACATTTTTAGAAGTGCCATAGTAATCAGCAAGATGGGAGTCGGTGGGTTGGTAGACAACAACCAAATCAGAGAAAACTCACATACGCCTAACATGATATCACAACAGTTTACTTTAACACAGTTTTATTATGCATAAAATATGTCATTTAAGCCAAACATTTTTTAAAGATTGACAAAAATAACTTTCTGTTTGCATTTATAAATGTAAAGGAAGATTGTTAAAGTCGCAAATCATCGTCTAATGAATTTTTTTTTTGTTTCTGTGCGTCTCTGGTAAAACAAATTGTAAACAAATTCTCTGTATGTTCCAGACATACACAGGCAGCATCCTAGTGGCAGTCAACCCATACAAAACATTCAACATATATGGCCTGGATATGGTAAAACGATATGAGGGGCGAGCACTGGGTGACCTTCCACCGTGAGTACTTCACTTGACACCATCTACAGGATTCTAAACCTTAATTCTTATTTCAGACAAAGTTTTACTCTATCTGCTGATACAATTTGTTTTCAAAACAATTTTATTGCTAGTAGCTGGTGAAAATATTTATCTCTAAATTTTGTGGGTAATTATGAAAATACTTGTAATCACTACATAGGCGTACAAAATAAAATAAAACATTGATCTGTTTAAAACAGCTATAAAATTGAAATACTGAGACAGCGAGACAAAAATAAGTCTCCAGCTCTGTCATAGAGTTATATTTGTTTATGGCAGTGGATGCCGCGCGGACCTGGCCACTTGTTATTTCAGCAAATATTGGCGGCACACATGCCAGCGAGGACAGGAGTTTTTGTAACTTTTCTCTCCTCTCTAGCACGGTCTTATTTTGTTCGCCGACAACAAGGTGCTTGAATGGGGAGTTACTGGCGTGAATTGGATGCCTGGTCGAGAGCCGTAGGGTTTAAGGCAACGTGGAAAAAGTGGGAAAACACTCGTTTAATCGGGATACGGACGTGAAAACACGTCATTAGTTCTTTGAGCTTTTTTCCCTTTCAACCAGGCGGATAAAAAAAAAACACGGACAAAGTAGCAACAAAACACATCAAGGCAAACAGTTAATCGAAGTTTAAAAAAAAAGAAAAGGAAAAAAATAACCGACACACCACACACAAGTTTCAAAGTCAACAAAGTAGAAACTATACTTAGGCTAGTCCCATACCATGCCAAAGTTCGCCTAATTTTATTGTAGGCCTACTGTAAATCTTATAGGCATCTAACATAGACGGTTTAAAAAAAATGTCCTCGTAAAATATAAATGATCGTTGATTAGGCTACACTTTTTACGTACGTAGCATAACGCTGGTTGATTTTGACACGCCACAATATATTTTTGTCTAGTCGATATTAAAACAAAAAACTGTCAGCCATACGACGTTTGAACTAGGTTTTTTCGAGCGCAATAGCCGTTACTAAATGTGGATTCAGAGTTCGAATCTTGTTGATCTGTGTCCCTTGGTTGGGGTCAATACCTTTCATTGAATAACTTGCTGTTTTATTTTGCCGTGACTTGATACGCATGCGTGAACTCCGAATGAAAACAATCTACAGCCATGTTGCCCAGAGCTGGTAAATATCTTCTCAGACCGCCAGACCGTAAAAGTGCAGACGGCAAAATGGCGCTGGGAGGAACTCCTGCTGAGGTGTTACCTCCCTTGCGTCTTTTACAGAAGTTTTTCGTCTTCTGATTACAAATTAAATCAGAACAGCCCCCACCCCTTCCCATGATTCCCCATAGCCTACTCCAGAATGTTAACGATTGCTTGAACCAGATAAACAGATAACGAATATCGAATTTCAAATAGTATCTAGTATTTCAGTGTTTGAAAAATATAATACAGTTTATAATACTTTAAAAGGTTGTAGGCCTACTTATGCCCCTAGGAATGTGCATAATCTCAAAGGTGGGCGGGGGGGGGGGATATAAACCAACATTTACTTGGACATCTTAAATCCAACCCATCTAGGAGAGAAAGCTAAAATATCCAAACGATCGCCTTGTAGTTTGTTCTTGGATGGACAAAAGTTATGGACGCAAATCCAGAGAGAAAAGCAGGCTGGAATCAGAGTCGACGTGCCATATGACGCATAACATGTTGACACGTTAATTGTGTTGGAGGAAATACCCTTCAACATTACAATTAAGAACGAAGTAATAATTTTCAAACCTTAAATGATGTGTGTCTCTTAGTTATAGAAGTCCAATTTAACTTCCCAACTATGCCTGCCCAAGGAAGAAACTAGTCCGTGTATATCAGAAACACACTATGAGTTTACCTCCAAACTTGACGGGAATAGTCACGTGATATTAATAATACTAAAACATTAAATTATAATCCACAAATTAATTTATGAAGAGGGGTGGAGGAGGATTTAATCTGAATCATGAAGTGAACAAGATAATCTGATATTTGGCTGTCCTGATAATGAGGCTGAGTATGAGTAAAGTTTGAACTTGCTTGACATCATGATGTTCGTGCTTCTCTAAAGTGGTTCTCTCCCTCTAGGCATCTTTTTGCGATTGCCAGTGTGTCCTACTCCAAAATGATCAAAGATACAGAAAATCAAGTTCTAGTGATAAGGTCAGTGTGCTACACATTGCATGAACAACAACATTCACAACTACTCACAAGCTGGCATACATAAACACATATAGGCCTGCATACATGCACACATACATACATTCACTCACCTAGTCCTACATTTGTGCAGAATACATAAAGACATACATAAACACAAATCCATGCATGAACACATACATAATGCACACACATTGATATTGCACACTCACACATATATGCACACACATAATCCTACACACATGCACATAAATACACATTCCATCAACCTAAACATTGTAAGCTAGACAGTATTCAAGTTATGAAATGATAAAGCCTTCTCCTTGATACTTTAATTTTATTTGCTCAGAACAATTGAAAAAAAAAATGTCTTAATTAAAGTATTATCTTACTACATAATCTACCGTTTCCACTTACTTACTTTTATACCACTATTTAATGAAGCTCTTTATATGATTTAAAAAAGAATTCTCACATGTTAGAGTTTGTAATAGCATCATCCTTAAAGATTTTAAAACGAATACTCGCCAGTTAGTGTTTTTATTAGCGCCTACATCTCCGCAAGTTTCCTCTTGAAATCATCTTGTTAATGACCCCTCAGCATTTAACCCCATCTTCCAGTGTTGACTGATGCTTACATCATGTTTGCCAATTGATGTTAACTCTGGCTGCAGTGTTGACTTTATCTGATCTTTACAGTGGGGAGAGTGGGGCTGGCAAAACAGAGAGCACCAAGCTGATCATGCAGTATTTGGCCGCGGTCAACAAATCTGGCAACAACCTCATCACTGAACAAATCCTTGAAGCAAATCCACTTTTGGAGTCTTTTGGTAATGCCAAAACCATCAGGAACGATAACTCCTCTAGGTTTGGAAAATATATTGAAGTCTTCTTTAAAAGGTATGTCCTTACATAGTGTTTACACCTTTTTATATAATAACAAGGATTGTTGTGATTAAGCTAAATATAGTATCTGCATTTTAATTATATCATGTTCTCCTTCTTTGCATGCTTATTGTGTCTGAGGGAATAAAAAGAATGTGATTGAATGCATTCTATTATTCATATAGAAAGAAATTTTTGTTTTCAGTGGCTCTATTGTTGGGGCTAAAACTTCAGAGTACCTGTTGGAGAAATCCAGAATCGTCACACAGGTGGGCTCATTGTTCACCAAACTAATTTAAACATGACATGTTTTTTTTTTCAATTTGAACACTTTTTTTATAATCCTTGAAAGAAATGAAACATTGAAGGCAGTAATATATATTTTTTCCAATCCAGGATTTAAATTCACTGCAGTAACCTATTACAATTCTTCTAGGGCCAAAGATTTTGAATAAATTAAAACTTGCACTATTGTTTTTCCTTTTACTATTCCTGTTAAAAAATTGCTTCGATTCTGACATTTTTTTTACTTAATAGATTTTGGTAGTGATTACAGTGAACCTTGATTTTAATAGAATTACAGTAGCTGTAGGGTGAAAAATACCTTTTTCTTTAAGAGAAAACATTAAAATCATTACCTTTCTTTTGCCTCCTAAATTGTAGCTTAAACAAACTTAAAAGGTTTTTTTAAAAACAAACCTAGCCAATCCCCTCTAAAATATGTATCTAATGTAACTTAAACCTTCTTTAATCTTAATCCAATACTCATTAGTTTTAAACTAAACTAGCTAGCCCCCTCTAAAATATGTATCTTATGTAACTTTAGCTTTATTCAATCTTAATCCAATACTCATTAGCTTAGATGGCAGCTTGATAATTGCCATAAAAATTTAATGATCAATGTGAGTGACTTCATGGATGGTTGACTAAACATTGCTGAACTGGCTCTAAAAATATGAAATCAGATTAGGTGTAAATGTCTATAACAGAAGATCCTATCCTGGTCTATCCCCCCCCCCCCCCATATGAATCCTGCTTTAGTTAATCCTCAAAGGTTAGGTTAACCTGTTATCTCCATATCTTCTGAATGTTACAGCTTTTTTTTTTGTGTCTGATCTGGTCTTGTCTGCTCTTGTTTTTTTAAATTCAAATAGGTACGTCAAGAAAAAGTAGAGATCCAATTATGCAAAGAATTTTTTAAAGCAGTTTGTTTACATCGGTTGTGGAATGTTTTATAATGAGTTCTTAAAAAAACAAAAAAAAAAACAACTATTTTCAAACCCTCAACTGTTAAGGACTTAACATCCTTTGAATTATTCATTAGTGAATACCATCTTTAAACTAAGTGAAAGAGCTTTTTTTTTTAAATTAAAGTTTTTTTTTTAGGTTCTTAATCCTGTATTCTAAATATAAATTATTTTGTCTTTTAAGATAGTTCACTCCTTAATAATTCAGTTTTGCAGTTATAAAATGTGTCAAAAAATCCATTTATTTACAAATTTGTTAGAGCCCAATTGATGATACATAACAACGTTGAAATTTGTTTAGGCCCCCCAAGAAAGAAACTATCATGTTTTCTATGAGATGCTCGATGCATTAAATGATGAAGAAAAAGCAAAATATGGATTGCAATCAGCACCCAAATATTTTTATCTGAATCAAGTGAGTTATCTTTAAAATCTTTATTGAATCTATTATTGTTGCTACATCTAATTTCATCATTTTAATTGTTATTTTTTAATTATATCAGATTTTTTTGTTGTTGATATTTTTAACTGTATCAGATTTAATTTATTGTTGGTGATACTTTTAATTTTGTATTAAAAAATATTGCTATTTGTAACATGCATTGAATTTAATTTACATTACATAAAAATTAAAAATGCATGGTAAATAAGAATTTTTAAAAAGTGTTAATTTGTTAGTAATTTTCTTTTGTTGAATTAATAGCTGAAAAAAACTTTTTATAATTTTCAGGGTGAAAGTTTTCACATCTCTGGCCGCGAAGATGCACAAAACTACAGAAAACTGGTGGCAGCCATGGAGATTCTCAAATTTGAACGTCAGGAGCAAGAGACAATTCTCAAGATTTTGGCGTCAGTGCTGCACATTGGAAACATATTCTTCAAAAAAATTAGTGTAAAAATTCTTTTAAATTTCACAAACATTAATTTTGTTTATTGCATTTGTACATTTCTTTAAATCTAAAATTATTACATTTTGTATTTGGGGGTCATCCATAAATGACGTCACACTCATAGGGGGGAGGGGGGTCCGTAATTTTGTGACGATGTGTGATGAGGGGGAGGGAGGGGGTTCAGATGTTGCGACGTCAAACTTTTGCATTATAAAAAAGCAATGTTAGAAAACGAATTTTAGACATTATTTTGCGTTTTAGAAAACTGTTTTAATAAATTGTAATAGTTTAGACAAGATTTTAGAAAAATATCGATGTTTAAAAAAAATTCAACTGCAATTTTGAGGGGGGTTGTAGGTTGAGGTGTGATGTCATTTTAGGGGGGGGGGTCTGGCTTTTTGTGACGACGTGTGACGGAGGGAAGGGGGGGGAGGTAAAAATAGTCCAAAAAAGCGTGACGTCATTTATGGATGACCCCTTGACAATATTCTATCTTTACAAGAAAGATTAATGAATTAGCTTTAATCACTATATTTAAACAAATGGAATACAATAACACTCCATTGAGATTTATACTTATTATAATTATCTGATTCAACACACCAATAGTGATAGTTTTATTGTGAACACTGTTATAGGTAAACAACCATGACACAGTTGAGCTTGGATCTGACGCAGAAATCAAATGGATTTCCTACCTGCTGGAGCTATCTGATGACTGGCTTAAACAAGCACTCACCAGCAAAGTTACTGTAAGTCCAGTCAACCATCTTTTTTTCTCTCTTTTTTAAAAAAATCCCTTGGTTTGTTTAAAAAACTTAGCTACCTTTTTAAAAGTCTAGTAATTAGATTACAATAACCACTAAAAAAAAATATATTAATTAAATCTGTGTGATTTAAAAACAGGTATTGTTTTAATGTATTAAATTAATTTTCACAGGAAGCTAGAGGGGACAGAGTTTTTTCTCCTTACAGCATAGACCAAGCCTTAGATGCCCGGTAATGTTGGTTCTTTAAACATGTTTATTTATAAAATCCTTAAGAAAATACATATTTTCATGCAGACTGCAGAAGAAACACATTCAATTTCTAATTCAAATTTAAAAAAAAAATTATTCTATTTTGTAAATTAAAAAATAGTAATATTAATTTTTAAAAGTTTTAATAAATAATTTTACATCATTTATTTATTTTATCTGAAATCAAATTGTATTCCATAAAATGAACTCTGTTTACAACAATTAAAATAAGGTAAAACAATTTATCACAGGGACGCCATAGCCAAAGCCTTGTACTGTAGGATGTTTTCCTGGCTGGTTGAACGCATCAACTACATCATCTGCAGAGCTGAGCGAGAGAAGTCAACATCTCTTGCAGTGCTGGACATTTTTGGTTTTGAGGTAGCCAAACGTTCATTATAATTTTACTTTTCAAACAAAAAAATGTCTTATACTCAAAAAATGGCGCATACAAGTTGTTTTAAGCTATTTTTACCTGGCTACTGTTAAATTCTCTATTTTATGATATTTTAACTCATTTATATTTAAGTAATCCTCTATTTTATTTTATTTTATTAACTCATGTATTTTCTCTTTTATATAAATAGGATTTCCTGCTAAACAGCTTTGAGCAGCTGTGCATTAATTATGCAAATGAGACTCTCCAGTACTTCTTCAACCAACACATCTTCAGGTTGGAGCAGAAGGAGTACATCAAAGAGAAGATCAAATGGGAGCACATCGAGTTCAAGGACAACCAGCCAACCATTGACCTCATCTCCACCAAACCTGCTGGGATTCTGCACATTCTGGATGATGAGTGTAATTTCCCACAGGTAAGTTCATCAAAGTACTCACTCAAAGTTCCATAACTCACCTCTAAGTAACTCACTCAAAGTTTCACAACTCACTTCTAAGTAACTCATTCAAAATTCCACAACGGGCACAACAGTCCCAAAATTCTACAACTCACTTTCTAAATAATTTCTATGTTCATATAATCCCAAATTTGTACAACTCAATGCTCTATATACTTATCCTTATAAATTCAATAAACCATAGATGAGTAAAATTACTTGATTACCCCCAAAGTTTTTCAACTCTAAGATTAACAAATGCTTAAGGGTAGGCCATTAATTGAAAAATGCAGTGTCTTAATAGTGCATGACTAACTTATTTTTTATTTATTAACACATCACCAATGAACCTCTTGCCACAGTCAACAATTCAAACATAAAGTAACTTTTTTGTTCCAATAATTTCAGTCAACAGACAAATCTTTCCTGGAGAAATGCCACTTCCACCACTCTGGCAATGAACTCTATGACAAGCCCAGGATGTCTGACCCAGAGTTCTTCATTGTCCACTATGCTGGGAAGATCAAATACAATGTGAGTTGGTTTCTTTTAGATCCCGTTGTTGGTAGAGTGTTAGTCTGGTAACACAATTTTATTGAGTGCATTGCTAGAATCCCAAGCAGGTCCCTTAGTCCACCCAGCTCTGATGGGTACTTGACTTATGTTTGGGAAATTAAAGGCAGCTGGGCATAGTGCTGGCCACACTATCCCTTCATGTGCAGAGGTCACAAAAGCAGGTGGGCTCTATTTCACCAGTCCCAAGTCCAAATGGGAACTTGACTTACTTACGTTACTCACTTTTAAAAAACTTTAATGAAGCACGACATGAATAATTGTCTCTCTATGCTGTTGCTAATGAATTGTGGGGAAACTACTTTAAAGCTTAAGTTATTTGATCTAATCATGTTGCATTGTTTTATGACGCATTGTGGAAAGTAATACTTGGGGTGTATTTTAGGTTCAACACTTCCTGGAGAAAAATAAAGACACATTGAAAAGTGATGTTATTGAGCTGATGTGTGAAAGTAAAAACAAGGTGAGAAAATAGATTTTTGTTCCATATTTAAAATTGTACTTTTGCAAGATCAGAGGTCATGGTTATAAGCTATCTTATGTTCTTATATCTTGTAATTTTTGTTCATAAGTAGACGTAGACAGCAGAATTGTAGAGGCTTTTTAAATTTTAAAATAGTTAATTTTAAAATTTAATTACAAGTAACTTGAAGATTTGTTGTTTTTAAGAAATCAGGTGCATGGTAAAATATTTTTTAAAACACCTTTTTCAACAGATGATAGCCCAGATGTTCAAGGACCATAGGGACAGACTAATTACCAAAACACTGAGTAAAATGACTGGCCACTTTGTCACCAAAAAGCCAAGAACAACAACTGTGGCTGCCAGCTTCAATGAATCTCTCCTATCCCTCATTGACACAATGTCAAGGTCAGCAGAGCAAAGACAAAAACTTTTTAAAACTTTAAAAATAAGAACCAAACTAAAAGTGGTTTTTTTGTGTGTGTTTGATTACATTTTTTAAAGACATTGACTTTCAAGTTAATATGGACATGTTTTTTAACTTGTTATATATTTAGTAGCAATGTTTTAATGTACATTCTTTATACTCCTTTTTTATAATGTATTTTTGTTTAAAATAAATAATTTTCCCTTGTGAACCAAATTTCTGCTGTCCAGGTGCAATCCTTACTTTGTTCGCTGCATCAAACCCAATGCCAGCAAAGCTCCGATGGACTTTGAGGACATTGTTGTGTTGGATCAGCTCAGGTACTCCGGCATGCTGGAGACCATCAGGATTAGGAAGATGGGATATCCTGTTAGGATCAAGTTCCCACAGTTTGTTGAAAGGTAATTTGACCAATGGTAATTTGATAGACCATTTATAGGAAATCAGGATTAGGAAGATGGGATACTGTGTTAGGTTTAAGTTCCTGCAATTAATTAAAAGATAGCTTGTATAATACTTCATTTACTGACACAAGATTTACATTCTGAAAATGAAGATAACTCAAGTTATGACCATGATAGTTAAGGGTTGTGTCCAGGGTTTCTTTCAGGCATTTCATCTCCTCCCCCCCCCCCCCCCCAATGAAATATAGAAAACTGGTTGTGTCTTCATCTTGTCTGTTTTGTTTTAAATATCTTTCATTTATTTGTCATAAAATAGTAGTTTATTTGATTTTTACTTTGTTAAATGTTCATATTTTTTTATTGTGAATAGATCCATATTTAAATGTCCCATTTGTATGTTTTGAAGTTTCCCATTTGTATGTTGCAAAGTGTCCCATTTGCATGTTGTGAAATGTCCCATATGTATGTTGTGAAATGTCCCATTTGTATGTTGTGAAATGTCCCATTTGTATGTTGTGAAGTACCCCATTTGTATGTTGTGAAGTACCCCCATATGTACATGATGATCAGACCATTTTCCCCCTCTAAAGGTACCATTGCCTGATGAAGGGCCAGCATATCAAAACCAACCAGGTGCCGTGGGATGTTTGTAAGATCATTCTACAGACACAAGGCCCAGGGTACAAGGACGAGTACCAGATAGGTGCCACAAAGGTGAGGTTTTTTTCTGTAACAGTTAATTGAATTTTCTTTTTTTTTAAGGTAAGCTTTTTTTATCACCTGATTGAATTTACATAGTTTTCTTTTTTGAAGAACTTTAAAAATTGAAGTGGTTTGTCTTGCTATAATATCTTTTATAAGGTTTTTATAACAGTCTGTTCTATTTCTTTAACACCTGATTGTTGTATAAAAGTTAGTTCCTTTACTTTAACACATGACTTAAATTTTGTAAAAGTTAGATGATTATTCAAGTACTTGAATGGTTTCATTATTTTTTTTTACACTGTCTCAGGTCTGTTATTCTACAAATAATTTTTTTGCTCTGGTAAAAAAACAATTAGTGTGAGGATACATAGTCCATAATGTCTCGCTGATCAATACCTAGTGATTTTACTTGGACAGTTGGGAGCTCAAAAGTTTTTTAAACTCAAAAACTTTATTGATTTATAGTCACATCTTGATGGATTAATCCATTTAATGAGGACATCTTGAAAAATAATTTGAAACTAACTTAGATAGGTATTGTATCTGCTTTAAAGATGAGACATTGTACATATGAATGGTCACCTTGTTGTGTACATAGTTAATTCCTTGTCTAAACAATTTTATAAAACTAAAGAAAAATTGAATTTGGCCACATTTTCTTATCTTTATGTGGACAGGAAAATCCTGGTCTAATTTACCTTTCAAAGAAGGAAAAAAAGAAAGGTTGAAACCAAACCTGTTTGTATACCATTTTCTGAGTGATCATTACAAATAGCTGCAATTGGAGGGGGGCGGGGGGGGAAGAGGACTGTTAAGTTTAGCAGCTAAGCTTGTTTGGTAGTAGTTTTCTTCTGCTAGTTTTTTTTAAACGTTAACGCTTAGTCTAATGCGAACTAGCCAATGGTGTTTGATGTTAACAAGACATGAGTGGGTGGAGGCTGAGGTGTACATGAAAGAGGAGTCATCATCGTTCGTGCCATAGACGCATGAGGCAGATGAAGTAAACCTCATCTGTTTCAATGACCTGGGAAGTGTTAGAAGATTAAAAATACGTAGACAATGGTACATAAAATATCCTTTAAAAAGACAGAACACTCTAGGGAGATGTACTCTGAGTCTGCCATTTTTCATGTAGAACGTCGGACAATTTACTTTCCTAAACTTAAACGTTTCTCCTCTTTCTCGTAGCATAGAGTCGCGAGCATGCAGTTTACAGTTTCGTTTTAACATTTCATGGAAACATCAAATTAACATAAATAAACCCAAAAGTTGACCATATAGAGAAACTATATGCTACTATGATTGCTTTCGTCATTGTTGGAAACACATAACCAGAGGCGTAGCGAGGGGGGGGCGGGGGGACATATGTCCCCGGGCGCCGACCTTAGGGGGGCGCCAAATTGAAAGTTTGAGGGGGGGGGGGTGCAAATGAAAGTTCGAGGGGGGGGGGGGTGCAAATCGAAAGTTTGAGGGGGGGGGGTGCAAAATGAAAAGTTCGAGGGGGGGGGGGGTGCAAATCGAAAGTTTAAGGGGGGGTGCAAATGAAAAGTTTGAGGGGGGGGGGGACGCAAATCGAAAAGTTTGTCCCCGGGCGCCGGGAGGGGTCGCTACGCCTCTGCACATAACACACTGCTGTAAAATGATGTATTCTCTATATAAGAGTTGTTATTCTGTAGCAAGTTCCTGATTTTCTTTGACACATCCTGTCTTTATGTCCGCTTGTCATTTTATCATACATTTCAACGTAGAGGTGAACAGGTCCCTATTATAAGTAAACCACAGCAAGCTATTTTAAATGAAATAATTAAAGGTTAATTAATTTAGCACTGTGCATATATGCATTAAGGATGTGAATAGAAGAACACGGTGTTAACAAACTAGATTTTGTTTTTCTCTGTACACCAGGGGTCTCCAAACTTTTCAGCCCGAGGGCCGCATTAACTATCAAATATCAGTTCGGGGGCCAGAGTTTCTTCCAGGCATCTCTTCCGGTTGTCTGAGCCCCCCCCCCCCCCACCCATCGGAGAAAATAGTCTGAAAGAAACACTGTAGAGGGCCGCCAACACACTCGAGGTCCAAGTTTGCTCTCAAATTGTTCTTCACGAATTTCATTCTTGAAATTTTTTATTCACACAGGTATGTTGTTTCCAAAATTTGAAAGGTACTTTGATACAAAAGTTTTAATATTAGGAAAGTCTTCCTTGGGCATAAACTTATAAAAACCCACCCGCCCTTCTTCGAACTTGTCTTTAAGGAGGTCATTTGCTTGCAAATCACTTACCTCCAGCTGCAGTTCATCTGGGCAACTGGCCACATCAGCTTGAAATGCGTTTTGAAACCATCTCACTTCTTCTGCCTTTGAATCCAAGTTAGAAAACTGCTGCTGAAACTTTGATGATCTCGCCTGCAAATGACGTGAGGGAATTCAGCTGTTGTTCAGCCATGAAGACCTTGCAACTGCTGAAAGTGCGTCAAGTTGTTGGCCCTGTACTTGTTCCAAAAAACATGACAGGTTTATATGTGAAGGCCTTTAGGTGGGTGTATAGATAAAAAACTAGATGTCCTTCTCTTGTAGATTTAGGTTCCGAAAATTAAAATGACTGGTTATGTCTTCAGCAGAGGCCAATTTCTATACCCACTCTTCATCAGACATTATTGGCTGTAGCTTGGATTTACTTTCCAGAAAATAACCTTTCTCTATTCTGTGTTTTGTATTTTTCAACAAGTCTCTGAACTATCTATGGTTAAGCCCATATGACCTTATTAAATTCACTATCTTCACCACAGGATTCAGTACACTGCTAATGTCCACATATTTAGCACACAAAGCTTGCTGGGGAATAATACAGTACAGGAACATTGGTTGTAGAATGTTTTTTCTTCTTCGCTTGTCCAACCTAGCCTTTCTTTATGGGCACTCATGTACTTTCGACAATCAAAAGTCAGGTAACTGAAGTTAGTCCAGTCAAAGTTATACTCAGCAAATTAATGTTGTTTGTTTTAACTCATTGAATATATCCTCTCTGGTATATGCACCCAAACCTCCTTGTCAAACTACTTTGAATTTTCTGGGCAAAGTTACTCAGCCACCTCCTACAAATATTTTTTTTTCCGTGGTCAGAAATATCTCCGCGGGCCGGATGAGAGGACCTCGCGGGCCGCATCCGGCCGCGGGCCGTAGTTTGGAGACCCCTGCTGTACACTATCTACAGCCGATAAGTCGCGTCGCAGTCAATGTAAAGTGGTCACGATCTGTTGATAAAGGGCACTACACTGATACAGGGGAAATAACTCATGATAGATAAATTGTCGACCTTGATACTTGCTTTTTTCGTCATTCAAATATATCTGATACTTTGTTATTGAATAAGTAATTATTTTTAAAATCTATAGATAATAAAAGTACCAGGAGACTTATAAATATCAGTTATCTATTTTTTAAATGATATTTTAAAAAATACTATCCATTATTCTCAAGTCCTTAGATACTTAACGCACAAGTTCACGTGTGATAATAATGTAGGATACACATAGCTGTTGGGGGTTACTAAATAAATCTCGTGTACGATACTGCCATAGCTGTAAAAAAAATTCTCAGTAATGGTTTTTAAAGATAGGCTGAGAAGAAATTTAAAGTGTTGTGTTGGCACGGCCAACCTATGTACAGCCTGTACAACCTGACCTTTGCCTGACCTCTGTACAGCCTGACCTTTGCATGATCTTTGTACAGCCTGACCTCTGTAATGTTGACCTCTTTACAACCTGACCTACTGCCTGACCTCTGTACTGCCTGACCGTTGTTCCTCCTGACCTCTTTACAGCCTGACCTAATGCCTGACCTCTGTACAGCCTGACCACTGTACCACCTGACATCTAACTGCAGAGGCGTAGCGACCCTTCCCGCAAACTTTTCGATGTGCACCCCCCCCCCCTCAAGAAAGATTTCGATTTGCACCCCCCCTCAAACTTTCGATTGCACCCCGTTGTTCCTCCTGACCTCTTTACAGCCTGACCTAATGCCTGACCTCTGTACAGCGTGACCTCTGTACCACATGACATCTAACTGCAGAGGCGCAGCGACCCTTCCCGCAAACTTTTCGATGTGCACCCCCCCCTCAAGAAAGATTTCGATTTGCACCCCCCCCCCCCACTCAAACTTTCGATTGCACCCCCCCTCAAGATTTTCATTTGCCCCCCCCCCTCTCTCAAACTTTCAATTTGCACCCTCCTCAACCTTTCAATTTATTTTTCCAACCCATTTTGGCGCCCCCTAATGTCGGCGCCCGGGGACATATGTCCCGCCCTCCCCCCCCCCCTCGCTACGCTACTTTCTAACTGCCTGATCTGCATCATCTCCCCTCTGAAGTTCCTCATTTACTATCTACTTGTAAAAAGACCAGCTCTTGAAAAAAAGTAACATTTTCCACAAACGATACATTGCTAGTATGTCCCTTCCAAAACATAGTGTGCCTATTTTTATCGCTGAACTCTTCTCGGCGATGTTTAGAAACCGTGTGTCTGAGACAATCATCAGCGCCACCCATCAGCTTAATCTACTTAGCTTGACGTGTCCGCTCCCTGAGACCACTTGATCTCAGGAATGTCGTAACGCTCCAGCTTCACGGCTAAACAGCTTGGGTCTAGCAGGGAACAGCGAACATTCATCCATTGCTTGTTTGCTCCGTTTATAGTGCACAAGGCTGTAGTTTGGTCAAACGTGAAAATAATTTTAACATGAAGCAACATGGCCCACTTTTTTATTTTATAATTTTAGAACCGACCAACTGCCAATATTAAAAACAAGTTGACCACAAATCCACAAGTTAAAATATTAGACCAGCAGCAGAACCTCGAGAGCTTGACCAACAGCCCCTTTGACACCGACATGACAGGACTACCAGTCCAGAGGTTTCAAATATTGACCAACATACCAGAGGGACTTGAATCAACAGCCCAATTAAGGGCTAACAAATAATAGGACGACTAAAACTAGGACCCCCTCCCCGAAG